AATCAATCCTCCCTCGTCATGGAAAAGCTCAGTTGCATTTGACTCCACCATCTTAAATGAGCTTTTTGCACTACTGTTTTTCATTGTGTGATTGTAAAAAGATAAACTGCAGGTTTGAGAGATGGCTCAGTCAGTAATACGCTTGCTACAAAAGTATGAGGATGTGAGTTCAAGTCCCTAATGTCCAGTGTAGTAGATTCACTTGTAATTCCAGCACTGGGGAGGCATAGCTAGGCAGATGCCTGGAGCTCGCTGCACAGGAAGTTTAGCCCAATTGATGACCTCCAGTTTCAATGAAAGACTCTGTCTCAGAAACAAAAATAGGGGGAAGAGCAATAAAGAAGACACTCACTGTCAACCGCTAGACTTCATACACACGCGAGCGCGCGCGCGCGCGCACACACACACACACACACCTGTGTTTCTCTGTAAATGGCTACCGAGACAGGGATTACAGGTAAACTGTGTCAGAGGATACATTCTGAAAATACCTCCTGCCCGGGCTGGAGTGAGGAGAAGGGCTTTCCAAGTTCCCTGTGACTCTCAGGACTCTTTCTATGGCAAGGAGCTCAGAAGCATCGCCTTGTAGAACTGAGCATGCGAGGCCGCGGCTCTCAGCACAGACTTTCATTTCCCTCCTGTGGTTTGCGTCCTTCTCCTTCCTGATTCCCATTATAAATGAGCAGCCCTGCCGGTGTGCCCCCCACCCCTAGCAACCAGCTGGGTCCTTGCAAGCCTGATAGAGCCCCTTCCCTGACCCGTCGCCCCCAGATCTCACAAGCACATTACTCCAGCGTGGCAACCATTTCCTACACAGAAGCAGCATTTATATAAAAAGTCTTTGCTCAGCTTTCATGCAATCTAGGTTGCAGACCTATTTCGTAACATTAATTCTCTCCCTCAGCCACGGCCACATCAATTCGGCACTTTACAAACTATTTCAGGGATCCGATTTATCAGGGCTGACAGTGCTGCAAGCTGAAATAAACAGCGCTGCCTCAGCCTAGCACACTCCGTGGCTCCTATTTATCATTATTTAATTCAAGGGCCTAAAATTCTCTGACATTATTAATAGTAAGATGAATCACTGGAAAACTACAGAATCTGTGATCAACGAGGCTGAAATAATCCATTTTGGTGAAAGGTCTATGTGGAATTGCAGTGTCTGATGGCAGGGCTGGCTGTCATTAGTGGATGCGCATGCATGGGTGGTGGGGGACGCGAGCCTGAGGCCTCTGCAGACCTGGACTTTACTGCCAATGCTTCTGCAGTTAGACCAACGACGCCATGGGAGGGATATATGGAGACAGGAGAGCATCAGCCACCAGACCGTTCGCCTGCAGCTGTCACTCCATTTTAAACGTATTTTTGCACTTTGTTAACTTCGCGTTTGAACTTGGGTACGAACTGGGTCCTGAAATCTATTGGATAATAAGAACCTGACTACTTAACTTCTCCAGAGAGCCATACTACTAAATGCTCAAATACACTACAGTGTCTGATTTCTCTTGAAAGCCTCATGAGTCATCTTTTTATTATTGTTGTTGTTAATTTAGAGGAAAAGACACTTAGAAGAAAATATAATGTTATTTTGTTTTCTGTTTTTTTGACACAGTAAGAAGGAATTTTCTCCTCTCTTACCCTCAGGTTCAGAGGAAACAGAATACTACAAGGGGGATTATCTCTGGCAGAGGCTAATGGTCTTTAACAAAGCCATAGAGCAGACACATAACAATAGAACAAGCCCTTTTTTGCTTCTTTTTTAAACCTAGCAGGATAATCTTCATAAAAGCAAAACCTTCTGGAGTGATTTTTAAATGTTATAATTTTCTAGTTGACCCAAACTCTATCAAGTAGGATTAAAATTAAATCTTCCCAATCTTAAATATTTGATGGGAAAGAAAGTGCTTGACTTCTCCCAGAAAATCTTCCAGAAGGGTGATTTCTTATAATTAGCTCTAACTAAATTTCCAAATGTGAGGCCATGTCCTCAAGTTTTATTTTCGCGCAGGGGGGGGGGGGGCGGGAATACTACCTGGTATACCGTATTATATAAGGGATACCACTCTTTCATTTTTCCTTTAGCAAACCCAACATATGAAGGGGGTTGCTAAAGAATGAGAGCAGACTACATATTTGCTGTCATTGCTCGGGTTTCTTAGGCACAATTTGCACCAGATCCAGCTCTGTGTTGTTTGAAGTGTATTTTTAGTGTTTCTTTGAGTATGTCATTTGGTAAAGAATAAATCCTCAGTGTTCCAGACTAAATAATCTCAGCATTCTCTACTGTGTCCCCATGTTTTGCTTATGATCATATAAAATTTATTATAATTAATAACTATTATATATGTTTACATATGATCTATGTAGCATAATGTGATGTTTTGATTCATGTAAACAATATAGAACAATTAAATCAAAGTAATGAGTATGTCCGTTGTTTCTCCAACTTACCTGTGTGTGTGTATGTAATGAGAGCATCAAAAATCTATTCTTTTAGTAATTTGGAGCACACTATTATCACTGTGTTCAGTGTGCCCTGGAGAGGGTTAGTGAAACTCACTCCCCCAGGCTCAGTGAATCGTACCTTCTCAGCATCACCTCCATATCTCCAGTGCTCTTGTCCCACTGCCTTCATCATCTTCTTTCTACTGTACTGAGATGAGATGGAGTTTTTCAGCTCCATCTGTAAGTAAGTGATACAATGTGCATCTCTCTGTGCCAGGAGGAAGATCAGTTGCAGAGTTCTATCATGTTTGTCTTGTTTTCTTCAGTGTTCCTCTTGAGAACCACAGAGCCAAACTAAAAGAAAGAGCTTTGACTTGTTCAAAGTAAAATCTCCTTACCTGAAGATGATATCATTATTCCTCTAACACCCACCTAATTCGATATTTTCACTAGGAGCTTTATTTGGCATCTATAAAGGCCCTGTTGGAAAGATTGATAGAATTAATCTGTCTACACATTTACATGCATGCTGTGACAGGTAGTGCCTTTACTAACCCTTGTTTAGGGAATAAGCAAGACTTTGAATAGAGGATGACTGTACTGACTTCAGGATCTGAAGTCACATGGTAAATTGGTGAAAGTCATCACTCTACCCTAATGTGAGTCTTAGTTTGGGTTTTTATTGCTGTGAAGAGACATCACAACCACTACAACTCTTATAAGGAGAACATTTCATTGAGGTGACTCACAGTTCAGAGGGTTCAGTCCATTGTCACCATGGTGGGGAGCACTGTGGTATGCAGGCAGATATGGTGCTGGAGCTGAGAGTGTTACGTCTTGCAGACAACAGGAATCAACTAACTGTCACAATGAGGGAAGCTTGAGCAACAGAGACCTCAACTTGCTCCAACAAGGCCACACCTCCTAATGGTACCACTCCTTTTGGGGGCCATTTTCTTTCAAACTACCACACAGTAGGATTCAAGACCTAAAAACTAAAAACCCAGGATTTTTGATAGAATCTAAGAAACATGAGGTTACAGGGTAATCTGTTTCCTCTAAAACTGGAGGGGAAAACCGGTGGATCTAGACAATTACAGCCTATTGGAGCATCAATCCATTCAGAGCAGAACCATGGGTCAAATCTGTCAGAGGAACTGACATCCTCAATCCAGGCCATTAGCATATGTGGTTAATATGCTAATGACTCCACAGGGCAAAGTGCATACCCTGCAAGAACAGCCAGGCAGTGTAAGCAGAAGAAATAGAAATGATTAGAAAGAATCAAAAGGAAGTGCTAAATTTAAAACTCCATCTATGCAATGATGTTAGGATGGATTCATCAAAAGTGGGCTACGCTGAAAATCTGTGGGTATATTTCTTTGCAGCTGTCCAGTAGTGCCTGGGGTTTCTTACTGAGCTGCCCATGGCCTATACATTTCCACTGTCTTTAGGCCTGTACATTCAAATTCACTTAGGAAGGGTTGAGTTAACATGGACACTGTCTGTATGACTGTCCTAGCTTGCCTCCTATTCCTGTGACCAACACTATGACAAAATAATAATAGAAAAGGAAAATGACTATTTTTACCTTACAGCTTACAGTCAATTGCTGTAAGAAGTCAGAGTGGAACCCAAGGCAGGGAACAAGGAGTAAGGTTCAGAGGCCATGAAAGAATGCTGCTTACTGGCTTGCTTCCTCTGACTCTCTCAGTTTGCTTTCTTATACTACCCAGTCCATCTGTCCACTGTTCATAGTGGCCTCAGCCCTCCCACACCAATCATTAATCAAGAAAATGTCCCACAGACTTACCCACAAGATCAATTTGTTGAAGCCATTTACTCAAAAGATGTTCTCTCTTCCCAAATGATTTAAACTTATGTTGTTGACACAATCTGAACCAGCATAATGACCAAATAGGTTGATGTGTTAAACTGAGAGAAGAAAATCCTAAAGTATGACTATTGCTATGCCTTTAGCTATTAATTAATATCAAATAGTATTATTTTCCTATCTTGTTACTTAAATCAGCTTACACATCAATATTAGAAATGACCCACTTGATCCAGCAAAACAAAAGGTCTTATAATAACTATTAGAAATTTGAGCAGATATGGTGGCTCATACTTGAAGTCAGAGAAAGTATGATCACCATGAGTTCGAGGTTAGCTTGGGCTACACAGTGAGTTCTGCTACAATGGGTTACAGAGTGAGATGCTATCTTAACAGAAACAAAACTAATTACTATCCTAAGAGCTTCATAGAATTACTTTTGTAAGTGTCAAATATAAATTAAAAACTAAGAACTTTAGTTGTAGGTAGGGGAGTGTAACTCAGAGAGCACTTGATGGATGTGAAAAGTCAGGAGAATGGGTTGGAGGATAGAAAGTATGGAAGGGCAGTTGTGTAGAGGAGAGTTGCTGTGGATATCATTCTATATAAATAAAACACTGATGGCCAGTGACCAGGCAGGAAGTAGGTGGCCAGGCAGGAAGTAGGTGGGACAAGGAGAGAGGAGAATTCTGGGAAGTGGAAGGCTGGGGAGGAGACACTGCAGCCACCGCCAGGACAAGCAGCATGTGAAGACTCTGGTAAGCCACCAACCATGTGGCAAGGTATAGATTTATAAAAATGGGTTAATTTAAGATAAAAGAACAGTTAACAAGAAGCCTGCCACGTCCATACAGTTTATAAGTGATATAAGCGTCTGAGTGATTATTTTATACGTGGATTGTGGGACTCCGGGGCTTGGGGAACCTGGAGAGAAGCCCTCCAGCAACAGAGAGTGACTATGGAGAAGGAGCATTTATGTAGATAATAGTGACTAAGGAGAAGGAGCATTTGTGTAGAGGAGAGTGACTAAGGAGGGACATTTGTGTAGATGCTAGCAACTATGAAGGAGCAGTTATGTAGAGGAGAGTAACTATGGAGGAGGAGCATTTATGTAGAGGGTAGTTACGATGGAGGAGCAGTTATGTAGAAGACGGTGACTATGGAGAAGGAATATTTGTGTAGATGATAGTGACTCTGGAGAAGGAGCATTTGTGTAGAGGAGAGGACTATGGAGGAGAATGACAATGGAGGAGCAGTTGTGCAAGCAGTGGTAACCATGGGACACAGAAGAACTAGCCTCTTGTCATCTTGCATCATGTCAGGCTGCAAATGCTTTCATAAAAGTAAGGAGAGAACTGGTACTAAGAATTAACTGCCTCTGTTGCCATGGAAAAGCAGAAATTTACAGTGACATCATGTACAGGAAGGTCACTGTTATATTTAAAACGTGCTTTCTTGAGTGAGGACAGAGGGGTTATTTCTAGACATGAAATGACAAAGTTTATGATCCTCCATCATTCGCCCATTATTCTTTGCTTATTTACTACTGTGTCTATCATGATTTTGCTTTTCCCCATCAAATCTTGAACTAATGCGAAATTGTGTTGAAAATCAAAAAAAGTCATTTCATATGTTGCTCATTCTTACCTAGCTTTCTCCAAGCAAAAGGGGAAAATACCTAGTAGTGAATTGAATGTTTTTGCATGTGTCCTAAGTGACAACCTATTGATTTGTGTACTAATTTAAGAAACAAATTACTAGTTATTCCTACAGAGTTAGGGTTGAATCTTACTTGATAGTAGGAATTACTGAAGACCATCTTAAAATTCAGTATTAGGATAATATATTTATTATTTTTATACAGTTAAAATGTTTCAGTTAATTTAATCTACATATAATTTTTCTAATAGAGGCCATGTGACTATCTCTTTAAAGCTGTCATTTATAAGTATCCCGAAAAGAAGAAAGAACTATTAATTCTCAATTATCTCATTAGTGACCTCAAGTAGTTGAAGACCTCACAAACTTTTAAATTGTATGCATATATGACACATATATGCTATATATAATATTTTATACGTGTTTCAAGATGATATGTAGGCATATTTTTTGCCTTTTAATATATAATATGTAAATTTCCAAATAAATATTTATTAGATAAGTTTCTTAATATAATTTTTAGTTTTAAAAATCTACATGTTATAAGGTCCCTAAGCTAGATTTCCAGCACTATAAAATGAAAATGAACAAAATAACATTCCTACACATTATTTTGTTTATTTTAAATTTTTACTCTTTTTTTTTTTGTCATTTTTGTCCCCCTGACCCCATTCCCTCTCTTATCCAACACCTATTCCAATAAAATCCTTCATATTCCCCACAAGCCCCTCCTACCTTGACACCTTTTTTCCTCACTGAATTTAACTAGGGTCACTTGCATGAGCTTGAGTGAGCATTATCTACCAGAACACGAACAAATCGCTGGTGGCCACACCAATGAAGAAAATGACCCCTCACTGAGCACCTACTAATTGCCCACAGTGCCTCAGTTAGTGGCGGGGTGTCATAAAGCCCCTCCCCCACACATGATGAAATGGTGACAGGCCCAGTCTGTGCAGGTAACCAAGGCTGAACGGCTGTGTCATACCTTGAAGGCACTGTTTCTAGTGCTGCTCTCCAGCCTCTGGTTCTTCCATTCTTTCTGCTCCTTCTTCTTTGATGTTCCCTGAGCCTCACAGGGGTGAATAGATATCTAGTTTAGGGCTGAACACTCTATAGTTACTTACTCTCCATATTTTGAGCAGTTGTGAGTTTCTGGACTAACTGCTACCCACTGACAAATAACTTCTCTGGTGACAGCTGTGCACAGTGTTAATCTATGAGTGTAAACCCAAATATTTTGAAGGAAGTTTGATGCTGTTGCATATTTATTGATAAGGTAAAAAATATTCAAAAATTAAAATAATAATTTATCTTTTATGTATATTTTAATTTTATTTTTGCTATGTATATATATCTATATATGCTCCCAGTTTTCTGTTCTCTTTTATAGATAACTCTTAGCCACTCAGAGCCCAGATACCCAAACATCTACATGCTGGTCTGCTGCAGACTGTCACCAGTCTTTGGTTATTTCATTTTTCATTAGTGCTATCCCCAAGGGAGATCCTGGAAAGAGAGACAGGAGGTGCAGCTCAAATCAACCAATTTGTTTCTCATTAACTCCTCTGATAAAAAATCTGATAGAAAGGGAAGTTGTAACTATTAATGTCGGTGAGCTTTGAATAGGGTCTGTTGATCTCATTCATTTATGCTCTGCATGTTTCAGGTTGATGGAGGAAAACTATAGTTAGTTTTATTAATCTTCTACAATTTATGCTTTCCTATTTCACACTCAGTGATAAGTAAACAATGCTCAGTTAAAATCACCTTCACATAATTTTTAAAAGTTTTGCTAGCAGGAGGAATAATAAAAACAATGATAAAGATTTTTAAGTGATTATTGTAGACTTCCATGGTGACAAGCAAATGCCTTAGCCACAGTTCATCACTAGAGAAAGGACACAGAAACAGACTAGCACAGTCTCTTTTCTAAAATTCCACAATTAAGGAAATTTGAAATCCGAAATACTTCATCTTACCACATTTGGCAGAAATACTAGATTGAAATGACTGATGTAAAACCCATCCTAAACCAACATGACACACAAGTCTTTTATTGACTTCTTCAGTCATGTGACTACACACACTTTTCTTAGCACAAATTTTCATGTGCCCTTGATGCTGGTGGCTCCAAGTATGGTATTCTCTAGATCCTGTGGATGGTGAACCACTATATGAATATTGAATTTTTGTTCCTGGGGGGACACACTAGGTTAGGTTCTCAAAAACTGTTGGAGAATGTTATTTTATAATGTGTTACTTTTGTTTATGTTGCATTTAACATAAACTGTGAAGCTGTGTTACTGTGCCTATCCAAAACACGTGATTGGGGGGGGGGTGGAAATTTAGCTCAGTGGTAGAGGGCTTGCCTAGCAAGCACAAGACCCTAGGTTCAGTCCTCAGCTCCAGAAAATTAAAACAAACCCCCTGATGGTCTAAGAACTGAATGGCCAATAGCAAAGCAGGAGAAAGGATAGGCAGGGCTGGCAGGTAAAGAGAATATATAGAAGAAGAAATCTAGGAGGAAAGAAGAAGGAACCAGAGAGGACGAGAGGAGGACTTCAGGGTCCAGCCACCCAGCCACCCAGCTACACAGACAGACACGGAGTAAGAAGGAAAGAAAAGGTATATGGAAATAAAGAAAGATAAAAGCCCCGAAGCCAAAGATAGATGAGGTAATTTAAAGTTAAGAAAATCTGGCTAGAAATAAGCCACACTAAAGGCTGGGCATTTATAATTAAGAATATGCTTCCTTGTGTGATTTATTTGGGATCTGGGGAGTGGGCCCACCAAAAGAGCAAAAACAACCAACAACACAAGCCTCTGCACACATATTAGTCAGCTAACCATCACATAACCTTATTTGATGCATGTTTCTGTGTAGACATGATGTTAAGTATTTGGGGGTCCTTTGACTTGAATGCAACCGTCAGGAGTGCTCTCACAGCTGAGCAAAGCTTATCTAGCCCAGGGATTTCCTTCACAAGGCATGTCACAGACTTGTGCTTAGGCACAGAACTTCAGCCCTGTGCCTAAAGCAGCAAACTTACCAAGAAAATAACAAAAAATTAAAAACCTGGGACTATAACAGCATATAGGCCATTGCTCATAATGTGAAATGATAGAGAAGACCACTTAGTTTCAATTTAATCTTTTTTCTTACTGTTCTGTACACATCCATGAAAGAATTTTCAAGGCACCATGAGCACAGATGCTGTATTTACCAATGCATTTATCAAATAGGCAAATCATCTAAAAATAAAAAGGATTTATGTGTTACCCTTGGTGTGACCTCAAATATTTACAGCATGGCCTCACATAGACACAGAAACAGCTCTGGCTTTCTAAAATCTGATCATTTAGAATTTTAACGTAGACTTGGATCTAAAAATGTTAGGGGATTGTAAGACCTTTCTTTACCTGGATGGTGTTTGATGAATAATGTGAATGCTATACCTTTTGTAATTGTGGTGATCACCCTGCTGTTTGCCCAAGTTAAGGTGAATATTCATGCCTCACCTCAATAAAAGTTTATAGAATAGTGTAACTTGGGTAAAACCCATGTAACTCACCAAGTCTCAGAAATAATGCAGGTGACAGAGAGATCTGCAAAGGGCTCCAGAGCCATGAAGTGCCATTGTTTCTCCAACTCACAGATCTCCAGTGGGGACATACTTGTTTCTCAATTGCTGAAGAGCATTGCTTTCTCTTTTTAGACTAATTTTCACCATTTGAGAAAATAGTGAATCGCCCTATGTATCTTCTAATATCCTTAGGACATATGAAATCCTTTAATACTTAAAGGCACTAACTGAGCATTTACATCTCGGACTCTGAAGTCTCACAAGGCATAACAACAGATCCCTTTAGAGCATCCTTAGTTCTGCAAATAAAGTGACTTGCCATCAGAAAATGTAATGTCTCTGCTTTAGTAGTATTAGCTATGAAACTCATGGTTAGTATTAATAGCGGCATCACTTCCCTAGTCCTGATTCCAGGAAGTTTGATACTGTTTATAGAACTCTTTATGTCTTCACACACAACAGAGGCTTGGAAGCCGAGGTCTTTCATGAGTCAGTATTAATTAATGCTCCTATAGCTACAGCTGTTATTTGGTATTCCAGATAAGCTTGGGGGAGAAATATAGTTAATGGGCAATTCATTTTCAAATTATGCTATTTTTCCCCATCAATTTGCTTGACAGCTGTATTCTGCTATTGTCAAGAATCTACCCCATGAGGTGACAATCTGCAACGCCCCTATGAGAGGAGACGTAAAGTGCAAGCTAATTGTAATGGCAGTTTCATCCTCAATGAAGGGAGGAATTGAAAACTGAACACTGCTCTGTTCCTGTTGAGGATACACTGTTACAGGAGATGCTCAGGCTCTTCAGAAATCAGTTCTGCTAATTCTTTCATTAACATTTGCCTGAGACTTAATCCCAGCCAAGAAGGCTGCTTGACAAAGTGTCAATGACTATGACAGTCAGAGAATGAGGGACTTTCAGAAAGACTTGGCATGGTGTGTCAAGTGTCAGTGTAAGAACAGTCCCTCAGAACCAGAAAATAAAGAGACATTGTCTTTGTAGATCTTAAAATCAACTACAAAATTGACAAAAAGCTGGTCTCTTTTGTATTACCACTCTTCCCTGGAAGCTTTAAACAATTTTAATAATACAATGTTTCTTCTGAGGAAACAAATGTTGTTAGATTGTGTAAATATATGTTCACATGTGTATAGACTTCCATTTGGCAACATTCTTATTTTTTAATATATTCTTTGAGGACCGAGTACATGCAGATAGCATATCTTGATCACATTCATCCACCACCACCACCACCACCCCCGTCTTCCCTCCAACTCCTCACATATTAATCCCCAGTCCTCCCACCAAAGTTTATGTCCTCTCCTTTTTAGAAAAAATATAACCCACTGATTTCAATTAGCACTGCCTATATTTGCATGGGTGTAGGACTATTACCTACCATGTGCCATGCCCCTAGAAAGACCTGTGTGTGCTTTTTCTAGCCACCATCAATTACGAATAACTTCTGAGCTAGGAGTTGGGGGTTCCTGTGCCGCTACCCATCCATGCTGGAATGTTGATTGGCTTGACTTTGTGTAAGTCTTGAGTTCATGAGTACAGTAGTCCTGTCACATCTGGAAGGCACTGTTTCACTCGTCATCCCTGACCTCTGGTGCTTGCAAACTTCCCACACTCTGATCTGGAAATTTCCCTGAGACGTTTAGAAATAGTGTGTGATACAGATGTCCAATTTACAACTGAGCAGTTAGCAAACACTTACTCTCTACACTTTGATCATTTGTGAGTATCTACTAACAAGCGTCCACTGAACAAAGAGTCTTATCTGCTAATGACTGGAACTTGTACCAGTCTACTAGCATAGACAAATATGTTTAGAAGTGAGTTTGATACTAAGTCCATTTAGCAAAATAAAACTAGCAAATTCACTTCTAGATCTTATGAGTTGATCCGCCATGTGTTCTTAGCCAGATTAACAATAAAATTGGCAAGTTTCTATTGCTGTTCTTTAGCTCAGCACGGTCTTCTCCATGTCACTTGCTCCAGTCCCAGTGCTTGGCTTCAGTCACACATTCTGGATCAGGAACCCCGGGGGTTCTGAATGTTCCTGCTTCCTGGGACATGCTGTGCACATTCCAGCTTCCCATTCATAAACCCTGAGATCCTGCATATTCATAGATGTAAAGACTGTATTTTCAAGTAAAGAATGATTTTGTAATGATTCTGAAGAAAAAGAAAATAAAATGAATTAGTTCAACTCTGCCACCCTACAGAGACAGAAAATTTTACTTTTTAAATTTAGAAATATGGGACTGGGGTGATTGATGAGTAGCCATATTTCTCAGGCTCTGGGTTCAATCCCTAGCAACAAGCAAATATGTTTTCTAGTTCATAAAAAACAATTTCGAGAAGCTAGTATTTTGCCTAACAAAAGAAAGTTTTAGTCTTGACATGATCTATTTTACTAAATAATAAAACGAGTTTAAAATTGAAATAAATAACTGTAAAATTGTTAATTGCTTTGATGAAACTGAAACACAAGAGTAGCAAGTCTGAAATTAGTGGTATGATTTAACTGCCTAAATTTTGCCCTTAGCAATGTTTGCATTTTATTAAAAAATAATGTATTCACTACCACCCAGTTAGTCACATTATTATTGTATCAGAATGTCATGCAAGCATTGAAGTCCAAGCTTTTAAAAACTGCTGTGGATATCTTTGTTTCTATTTTCTTGTATTGTAATATTTCTTTTCTCCTTTATTTGTAATATGATATTAAATACAGGAAGCTAAATAAAAGAAAATGTTCAATGTATGATAATTTCTACTCATTAGTATTATTTCATATGTTTTTTCTTTCTTATTTTAAATATATTTTTATTATTTTTAATTGTTTGTGTATATGTCTGTGTGCATGGCAAGTTTGTGCAGGTAGGTACATGCAGAGGCCAGAAGATTGCAACAGACCCCTGGAGCTGGTGGTACAGGGAGTTGTGAGCTGAATACCTAGTCATCTCACTAGCTCCATAAGGGGTGTTTTATTTTATTTCTTTTTTAGACAAAGTAGATTTTGTTCATTCCATGCATTCTGATTACGGTTTCTCTTCCCCCAACTCCCCCCAGGTCCTTCCCACTTCCCACACTCTCAAATCAACTCCCATTCTTTCTCTCTCTCATTAAAATACAAACTGACTATTTGTCCCTGTGCTTTATAGAACCTTGGTTTCAACAATTCTTGCTCATATAAACCCTCCTCTTTCTCGCTAATTAGACTCCCGGTGCTCCACTCAGGGCCGAGCCATGGATGTCTGCATCCAGATTCCTCAGTCCTTGGATGGGGTTTCTGGCACAACTATTAGGGTGTTTGGCCATCCCATCACCAGAGTAGGTCAGTCCTGGCTGTCTCTCAACCATTGCCAGCAGTCTTTTGTGGGGGTATCTTTGTGGATTTCTGTGGGCCTCTTTAGCACTTTGTTTCTTCCTTTTCTATGTGGTCTTCATTTACCATGGTCTCCTATTCCTTGTTCTCCCTCTCCGTGAATCTAAAAAAAAATAATAATAATAATAGATAAAATAAAAACAAATAAACCATAAGAGAACAAAACAAAGAAAAAGCTCAAGAAACACATAGAGCCTCAGAAACACACACATTCTCACAGAAAAATCCCATAAAAATACAAAACTAGAAACCATAATACATGTGCAAAGAACCTGTAATGTTTAGGAAAAACAGAGCCCTGGCAAAGCATTATAAGACAGAGTCTCCAAAAATGCCACTGAGTTTATTTTGTATTGGCTACCTACTGCTGGGCATGGGGCTTGCACTTAAGAGTGGTTTGATGCCTGGTGTAAGAGCTGGCTTTCTGGAGTTCATTACCTATGGTGGGACACCTTGCTCAGCCTTGATGCAGTGGGAGAGGAGCTTGGTCCTGCCTCAAGTGAATGTACCAGGCTTTGCTGACTCCCCATAGGAGGACTTACTCTTTTGGAGAAGTGCATGGGAGGTGAGTTGGGGATGGGGAGAAGGCTGGGCAGGGGTAGGGGAGTGGAAGGAGGGATGAGGGGCAATCTGTGGTTGATATGTAAAATGAATAAAAATTTTCTTTAAAAAAAGAGTGATTTCTATATGCAGTGAGACTCCATTGAACTTGCAGGTAGTTATCAGTTAGAGACAGCTTCTGGGTTAGGGATGTGGGCTTGTGTCCACTTCTTTCAGCTCTGGGACACCATCTGATGCAGGTTCATGCAGGCCTTGTGCATGCTGCCTCAGTATCTGTGCGTTCATATGTGCATCAGTCCTGCTGTGTTTAGAAGGCCTTTTTCCTTGGGGTCCTCCGTCTCCTCTGGCTCTTACAGTCTTTCATGGTTCTCTGAGCAGAGGGGGTGGGTGGGATTTGATGAAGAAATCCCAGTGAGTACTGAGTATTCCAGGGTCCCTCAATCTGTACACATTGTCGTTGTCTCTGTGTCTGTTCAGCTTCTCTGCTGGTTGCTGAGCAAGACACTGATCAATGGGAATAGCAGAATATTGTTAGGAGTCATTTTATTGCTATGTTCCTTTGGCAAAACAGTATTTGGTTTCCCCTAAGTCCCTGACCTATCTAGGCTCAGGTTCTTGCCCACCCAAGCAGTGTCAGGTATGGATTCCCTGTCTCAGAGTGGGCCTTAAAACGAGTCAGATATTCTTCCACATGCAGCCTTCCAATTTAACCAGCACCATTTGTTGAAGATGCTCTTTTTCTCTAGTGTGTATTTCTGGCATCTTTATCAAAAACCAGGTGTCCATAGATTTGTGGACTTTTGTCTGGGTCTTCAATTCAATTCCATTGATCAATATGTCTGTTTTTGTGCCAAGAGCATGTTGTTTTTATTACCGTAGCTCTGCAACACAATTTGAGGTAAGAGATGCTGATATCTCCAGTAATCCTTTTATTATTCAGGATTTTTAGCTATCCTGGGGTTTTTGTGTTTCCATATGGAGCTAAAAATTGTCCTTTCAAGATCCTTAATGTTTTTTTAATAATTCTTTTTCTTATTTTATGTACCAACCACAGTTCTCCCTCCCTCCCTTCTTCCCACTCTCCCCCCCTCCTCCCCCACCCTATTTGCCAGCCACTCCTCAGAGAGGGTAAGGCCTCCCATGGGGAGTCAGCAAAGCATGGCATATCAAGCTGAGGCAGGTTCAAGCCCCTAACCCTTATAACAAAACCAAGTAAGGCATCACACCATGGGGAATGGGCTTCAGAAAGTCAGCTCATCCACCAGGGACAGATCCTGGTCCCACTGCCAGGAGCAGAAACTGAACAAGCTACACAACTGTCACCCACATGCAGAGGGCCTAGTCCGGTCCCATGCAGGCTCCCCATAATGGTTCCCTCTATCAGGATATCTCTTTTCGTGTTCTCCCTCTCTGTCCCTCCCCCAACTCAACCATCACATTCCCTCGTGTTCTCATATCCCATTCCTTCCTCTCTTCCCTCCCCCCACCCCCAGTTTACCCAGGAGATCTTATTTCCCCTTCCTAGGGGGTGATCCATGCACGTCCCTCAAATCATCCTGAGTGAAGACAACCAGATCCAGAAAGAGAAACATGGTATGTACTCACTGATAAGTGCATATTAGATGGAAAACAAAGGATAACCATATTACTCTACAGCCCCAGAGAAGCTAGGTTACAAGGAAGATCCCTTAGTGTAAAGGTGTGTTTCTTAGATGCAGCAGAAGAACAGATCCTGTTTCTGTATCCAATCTGTTAATCTGTCTTTTTATTTAGGGCACTAAGACCTTTGGTGTTGAGAGTTATCAATGAGCCATGTCTACTGATTGCCATTTTTGTTGTTGTTGTTGTTGTGATGTGTTTTCCCCCTCTTTGATTTGCTGGTCAAGATTTATTATTGTTTGTGTTTTCTAGGGTGTGGTTAGCCTCCTCAGATTGAATTTGCCTTCTCTCACCTTCTGTAGGGCTGGATTTGTAGACAGATATTGCTTAAATTTGCTTTTATTGTGGAATGTCTTTCTTCTTTTTTTTTTTTCCTAATGTAGTTGAAAGTTTTGCTGGGTGTAGTAGTCTAGGCTGGCATCGGTAGTCTGAGTTTTTAGATCATCTATTCAGGTCCTTTTGGTTTTTAGGGTCTCCACTGAAAAGTCAGGCATTATGCTAATAGAGACACCTTTATATGTTACTTGGTCTTTTTCCCTTGAAGCCTTTAACATTCTTTCTTTGTTCTGTATGTTTGGTGTTTTGCTTATTATATACCAAGGGGATTTTCTTTTCTGGTCCATTATTTTGATGTTCTGTAAGCTTCTTGTACCTTGATAGGCACCACCTTCTTTACATCAGGAATATATTCTTCTGATTTTGTTGAAAATATTTTCTGTTCCTTTGACCTCCTTCCACTTCTTAGGTTTGGTCTTTTCATGGTGCCCCAGATATTCTACATGTTTTGTTTCTGGATTTTTTTTTTTTAGCTTTAACATTCTATATTTTTTCTGAAGTATCCATTTCTTCTATTGTGTCTTCAGTGCCTGAGATTGTCTCTTCCATCTCTTGTATTCTGTTGTGGAGGCTTACCTCTGAAGTTTATATTTCAGTTCCTAGACTTTTCATTTCCAAATGTCCCTAAGTTTTGGGCTTTCATTATTGATTTTGTTTCCATTTTCTGGTCTTGAATTATTTTATTCATTTCCTTCCACTCTTTTTTTTTAGTGTGCATGTGTTCATAGAGTTCACTGATGGATTTATTCATATTTCTAAGGTCTTTGATCATATTCATAATAGTTATTTTGATGTCGTTGTTTTGTGCTTCAGCTACATTATATTTCTCAGTACCTGCTATAGTATGACATACTGTCCTGGATGTTATTGATTATGTTTTTATACTGACATCTAGGCATCTGGGTTTGCAATGATTGTAATTCTAGCTGTTGATATCTTTGGTCTTGTCCTTGTTGGATGGGTTTTCCTTTCCTTGGTTTCTGTCACCCTCTTCGGATCTTAGGAGCATGTTGTTGTTACTGAGTTCCCCAGGAGGAAGTGCTTCTGAGTCCCTTCCAGGTGTGTCCTGGGAGCTGGCAAAAAGGAATTAGGGATGAGCCAGAAGGTCAGGGCAACTGAGAGGGTCCACAGGAGAGAGGAATGCTGAGTTTGTCAAAAGGATCTGTTGGGTCCACAGGGAATGGAGGAAAAGAGGGAAGACAGGCCCCTGCATAAGTTCTGCTACAGGGCTGGGAAAGAGAAGCAGAAACTGGAAATGGAGGACAAGAAGGAGAGTGAACATCCTCTATCTGATATCTTGGCTGGTGTGGCCAATGGGTTTCCAAACAAAGAAAGTGTCTCCGGTATTGGCAATTGGAGTAGAGGGATATGGTAAGGATGGAAGGCTGTAAGAGAGGATTTGTTTGGTCCCCTGTGAATGGGGGCAGAGGGAAGGAGAGGCTGCACCAAGTGTCTGCTACAAAACTGGAGATACAATTGGGGAATTGTCATGATTTTGGTTTTGTATATGGATAAAGTGTTAAGAACAACATATTTGCTGTGAAGATGCTAGGCACTAGACTACCAGAGAAGATGGTAAAACGATATCCAAAATTGCCTTTATTTAGTTGTGATTTTATTTAAGTTGGTCACAATTCACTTTAAAAGGCGTTGGGGGGGGGGCTCCTTAGGTTGTGCCAGAATTGCATGGGAGAATTAGGTGAGGCTAGTTACACGTCATTTTTAGTGGAGATCAGATAGATACGGCAGAAGCTTGATGAAAATCTCAGCTGTGTTGTGTAACAGGTTTCTTTCAGATTGAAACACTCCATCCTGAAGGGAAGCTGCTTAAGACCAGAAGTAAGCTTCAGGAAGTTCCTGAAGCTGATCACATTCACTAGGTCCCTCTCTCCCCAAGAGTTTATAAGCAATAAAGAGTGCCGAGGGTCACTCTCAGAGAAATGAAGCTGAAAGAAGACTCTCAGACAAGAGCAGCCATTGGTAGAGGCAGAAACCAGCTAAATTGCCTGAAGGAAGCAGAGGAGAGCATAGTTACCTGGAAAAAGCAAAGACCAGCTAACATGCCTCAGAAGAAGCTTAGACCAACTGGACTACCAGTAAAGGACACTTTCCAATCTGCTGAGCTGCCTGGAAGTGGTTTAGTGTAATCCAGATTTCCAGTTGTGAGTTATCACTCATACTTTGGTGGTCCCCTAGTGATTCAGCTGTCATTGGATCATTTCTGTTCCTGTAAGTAACCCCGTAACCCCTCATCCATATTCCTGTATGTAACCCCAATAAATATCATTCATTCACCATGTTGGACTTTTGCGTTATCTGTACTTTGGTCTATCTTGTGAGTCTTTTATAGAATGGGTGTTGTATAGATATGTGTGTTGTATTTCCCCAGGAAAAGTCTGTCACAAAGAGGATGCCAATGAAATTGTTCATGAAGTACCCATTTCATGTCATTCTTCTTCCTGTTAGATTTCTTATAGATTAAAAGCATTAAGCCATTCCAAATCATAAAATTTAAGAGGATGGTGATGGTTTTAGTGTGCATATCTCTGTGTATGGAGCTGAACCACATGAGTTGTCCTTTTTTGTCCAGAGAGGACTAGCAATTTGGTGTGGCTCTATCAACTGTTTTAAACTTGGATCAAAGTGGAGCCTTCCTGAAAGGGATGGGGGCCTTTATCAAAGGGACCCAGCTGGCTCACATTCTTACTTTCTTTTTAATGTATGAAATCACAGAGAGAAAGGGCCACTTATGAACTAGATAGCAAGCCCTGAACAGACCCTGAATGTGCCAGTGGCTTAATATGGATTATCAGGATCAAGAACTGTGTGATGGGAAGTAAAGTCATATTGTTTGTAAGTCACCCATTCTGTAGTATTTAATTATAGGTGCCCTAAAATGTGAAATACTTTTCATTTCACATTGAACTTCCAAAATTATGAAGTATTCTTCAGAAGCCAAATGATTGGACAATTTGTGCCTCTAACCCAGAACTCTCGAACAAACTTTAGACTTATACTACATCCCATCAGCTTGACATTTCCACTGAAGTGGTAGGGATCTCAAGCTTCCCTGATCATATGGACTTCTGCTTCACCTCTCCATCAACAGCTAACTCCTCCCTCCTTCTCAACACAACAAAATGGTAATTCCATCTGTCCAGATGCCCAGATTGAAGCAAGGGAGTCTCCACAAATCCTTTCTCTCTCCCACTCCCCCACTGTCCAGTTGATCAGTGTATACATTTAGAGTCTGACAACTTCTCGTCACACTCTTCAAACAGAATCCCAGCTGGATGCCCATTCCACTCTTGTCCTCTTGACAGTTCATTTTCTACAGAGAAAGATATAGTGATATTTTTAAATGAAAATTATAGCCGGTTGCTCTCCTGCTTAAATTCTTCCAAAGGCACACCACTGCACTCTGAATAAAACCCCAGACCTTTACTCTGTCCCTACACCACCATCATGTCTTTGCCTCCTTCTCAATGTCTGTGCCCAGGGCTCTCATTTTTGATTCTGGCATAGTTCTTGAGTGCCATATATTTATTCTTCCTCTGTGGATTTTTCTGGTAACTATTGTATTTGGAAAGCTCTAATCTCTGGTCTGTGTATCACTCATTCAGTCTCATTTGTATCTCCATTAAGTGTCACTTTCTTGTAGAGGGCATTACTGGACAGCCAATATACACAACCCTAAAGTCATTTTCTAGTACACAAACTTTAAATATCTCATTGCTTGTTTACTTATGTAATTACTTATTGTCTGTCTCTTGCCCCATTAACATTGAATTTGTTGAAGGTAAGGATGAAGATTGACTTGTTTGCCAATGAGTGTTCTGGTCTCAGAATAATGCTGAATGTATAGTAGACCTACAGTAAATGTCAAGTGAAAGACATACCTTTCTTATTGGGGATTAAATATATAAACCTAGTTACCTAAATTCTTACAATTTCTAAAACCTCATTTCTATAATTTCACTATTTTTATATATACACTGACACTATTGATTTTCAAACACAAGTAGCTCCTACTTTTCTGAACTACTGATCTTCAGCAATCCTAAACTATCGTATTAAAAACCAGAAATTTTCTTTGTTTGCACTGTGTCACTGACTCACTGCTGCACTTCAGAGATCATAAAAATATACACTTTAAACATTCAAGTTTAGTTCAGTGCAACTTGACTCTGACCAGAAATTTTCAGGGTAACGCATGGCCTTGGTAGTGTTCAGAATGTGGACTGTGCACTGTAATTGCAGGGACGAGTGACTCAGAGCAAAGCTAGGCAAACACCTGTTTTTCATAATCTATTTGAGAATTTCATGCATGAGTGCATTGTGCTTACCTCATTTCCTCATTTCCCTATCTCCAGCCAACTCCTCCCATGTCCTACCATAATTCCTTCTAGAATTCATAACCCCTTCTTATGTAGTTATTGTATCATGGGTACATATGTGCTACTGTGTCCAATTAATGTTGGCCCTAAATATGTGTTTCTTTAGGACTTGGATGGGGCTCATATCTGAAGAAAACTGGTTTTCCTTCTCTGAATAGCCATCGACTCCCGATAGTTCTTCATCTAGCAATGAGATCTTGTAAAAATTTCTATGTTGGCATGTCAACTGGTCTTGTGCAGGCAATCACACTGCTAAAAGTTCATTCTCACACAACACAAAATGGTCTAGATCATGATGCTCTTATTTTTTAAGCTACCACAAGTATTGACCTTGCTCAGGAAACAACTGTAGCATCTAAAATCACATCATCAACATCTTGTCTGCTGAAGTTCACAAAAATTCCAAGGAGTGTAGCCAAGTATAAGACCCTGGATCCCAGCCAGTCTGTATAAATCCAACTGATATTGAGTATGACAATGGTCTGCTGAAATCAGCTTATATTTAACAATAACACATTGGATATGTGCATATGTGCCCGCATGCAGGCATGTGTGGGCACATCCCTGCGTGCACGCGCGCACGCGCGCGCGCGCACACACACACAGACACACTGTGTTCATCATCAAGAATAAGAATAAAGGCAAGAGAAAATACACCTGAAATCCTTACTCTGGATCAATCCTTGAATAAAAAACCTCTCAGGATATAAAATAATTAACAATTTCACTTGATAGCCCTATAAATCAGAAGCTCTTTTCAGTTAACATTTTCTTCATTAAAGGGAAGTGAAAGTGTGTAACTGTAGAAGTATATACACATACTCTTAAAATATTGCTTTCCAGGTCTAAGTAATGGGTAGGTGGGTAGTAGTGATTACTGCAAAGGCATAAGGACTTGAGTTCAAACCCCCAGAACTCCATTAAAAAAGAAAAAAGCCACGGGTATCCATTCATGCCTGGATTCCCAGTACTGTATGGGTAGAGGGTTGCTGGTGCTTGCTAGCTGCCAGTCCTGCTGAAGTTTCATGGAGAATCCATATCTCAAAGAAATAAGGTAAAGACTGATACAGCAGGATACCTAATGTCTTCCTTTGGCCTCATGTGCACACACACATGTACATGCATCCACACAGATATACATACCTACACACATATTAACACATATACCCCAAAAGTGTTCCTTACCAGTGTATATGACCCAAGTATAGATGTTAAATGTTTTATGTGACCATATTTGTCAGTCTACTTCATATTTTTTCTTATTTCTCACATAATATTATAACTTAAACATTTCTCATGTTATTTCAACAAATCAGTGCTTAGCAATAATAGATAGCTCATACAATTGCATAAATCAATTGAAGGGCTTTGTTACATGCCACCAAGTTACTGTGCACTCTTTATTAACAGGTTACCTAATATTTTGACTGGTTCAAAAAGTTGCTTTCTAGCAGGCTACAGAATGGGAAAATATTTTTAACAACTACACATCCAGTAGATGGTTAATATGTAAAACATATAAAGAACTCAAAGAATTGGACATCAAGAAAATAAGAAAATAAATAATCTAATAAAAAACTAGGCACAGATCAAAACATCGTGTTCTCAAATAAGGAAACACAGATGGTTGAAAAATACTTAAGAAATGTTCAACCTCCTTAGTCATCAGGGAAATGCAAATCAAAACTACTTTGAGATTTCATCTTACTTCAGTCAGAATGGCCAACATCAATAAAACAAATGATGGCTCATGCTGGCAAGAATATGGAGTAAGGGAATCACTCATCTATTGCTATTGAGAGTGCAAACTTGTACACCATTATAGAAATCAATGCAGCAATTCATCAGCAATATGGGAATAGATCTACCTCAAGATGCAGCTCTATCACTCTTGGGAATATATCCAAATGACTTCACATCCTACTATATAGACATTAGCTCAACCATGTTCATAGCCACTCTATTTATAATAGCCAGAAATTGGCAACAGCCTAGATGTCCAACAATGGATGAATGTATAAAGAAAACATAGTACATTTATACAAGAGAATATTACTCAGCCATTAAAAAAATAAATCATGAAAATTTCAGGTATATGGATGAAACAAACAAACACACACCCTGAATGAGGTAATTCAGACCCCAAAAGACAATTATAGTATTTGAGCAGTTGTTCAGTCCAGCTAAATTGTAATCTCCTGAAAGTAGAAAGTGTACTTGCGTTTTGTGTGTGTGTGTTCCCATAACCCTTACCTTTCCACACAGGACTAGGAACAGGGATTTATCTCTTCACACAAATGACTATCTTCTGTGTTTTATTTTTTTTTCAGTTAAAAATGCAGTGATGCTGCAAAAGAACTGTTTTCTCTTCCTTTCCCATTAAATTATTTCCATGAGAATAATTTTGAACCATTTTTGTTTCGTCCTCCCTGTTATCTTGTATTAATTAATTATGTGTCTGTGAGTATGTGCGTGTGCATGTGGTGCATGTATATGTGTGTGCTGTACATATTTAATAAGGGTGTGTGTGTAAGTCAGGTGTCACCCTCTAAAGACATTCACCTTGTTTCCGTTTGTTCGTTTTTGTTTTTGAGATAGTTCTCTCTTTTAAGCCAGAGGCCACAGTTTAGTTGAAGTCAATGAATTCTAGGAATATTCCTGTCTCTAATCCCTAGAGCTAGACTTACAGTTGTGTGTCACTATGCTTGTTTTTTATGTTAGTGCCTCGAGTCTAACCAGGTCTTCATACTGACCCAAAGGCACTCTATTGACTGAGTCATCTCCACATCCCCTGTGTTATCTTATTGGTGAATCAAAAAAAGCCTTGACTAAATCAAA